GCAGGAATGACAAGAGGGCCAGAAACACAGAGAGGATTTAGATACTTTAAAAGAGTATTCTAAATTTAACTCACATGTTTTTTCTTTCTGGTCTTTTCCTCCCTTTCTCCATCAGACACAGAATCTGTAGATTAGTAAAGGAGAATAAGAGGAAAAGTCCTGAAAATTCTACTGGTAATCTAGTCTTCCTTCAACCTAGGCTTTATGATAGGAGAGCTCTGGTTCCTGGGAAATCCCCTAAAAGAGACTGATAGGGTGGAAGCCAGCAGAGGGGAGAAGGGAGCCATAATGCTTATTCCTGGGTCTTTCCACTGTGAAATCTAGAAACAATAATTTCTTGTACACTTTTGCCCTGTGCATGCTTACAGAAATAAAATTCAGATTATTTAAGAACATCTGCAGAAATTTCCTGTTTAAGAAATACGAAACAATGTCTGACTTCTATTATCAAATTATTTGCCAATCTATTACTAAAACATTCCCTATAACTTCATAATAGAAAGCATTAAGTCCCTTTTTCAAATAAATTACATATTAAAATAGCTTCTCTACCCAAACTAAAAGAAGAACTATACCTGGAATAATTCTGAAAAGTCCTACCTTTTCTTTGCAGCTGGAAAGCATGCTAATAATGCTAAGACAAACTGATTGGACTGAGAGCGCTGGGGACCAGTCTTCTGTTAGAATGGATAAACAGATATGACCATTGCTATAAACATGAGGATGAACAGGAATATTTTCACCAGTAAACATGACCTAAGAAAGAACAAAATTCCATTAATACTCAAATATTCTATATTACCAAAAAATAAAATATTCTCCAGGTAAGTTAATATTTTAAAAACCAAATTAAAAACAAATAAAATCAATGCCAGGAACAAGATAAACAACTGCTTTATTCTTATCAATTCAATAAGTACTGGTTTCACTATTATGAATGACCATGTAGTAGGAAAAAAATCCAGATTACCTATTTTATATTTCAGATATTTTTCACAAATTCCTTTTAAAATTTTCTAAATTACCATGTATTTTTAGACTAGTGAAAGACAACTATATTTACAAGAATGGTTTTTCAAATTCCTCATTGTTCTCTGCATACAGAAATCAAATACACTAAAATTTCAAACGAAAGTATTCAACTTTAGGACAATATGAATTACACGCGGTAGGAACACCACTTCCACCTATAACAATGTTATTACCCAAGGTGCTATATGCAAAAAGAAATGACTGCTACATCTTCCACCTCATCTAAATTCACACTTCCACTATGATGGGCACAAACTACCACTTACTAATCAGCAAATATCTATGTGCTTAGATGAAAAAACAAAGGTTGAATGAATCTCCCAATTACTTGCTGTTTTGTCTCTGCCTTTTCTTTTACTCAGTTCTTCTACGTTTTCCCCTCTCTCCATGTTGCCTCAGCACTGATTTGAAAGGTAATAAATCTATTATTTCCTTCCTTTGTCCTAATAATTCAATGTCTCAATAATACTGTTTCTTAAACATATCTACCTAAGCATCTGAACAGGCAGGAGAGTAAATTCATACATCCTGAGGAATCCGTAAGCATAGCCCATAATAGGTCAAAGTAAAAGTCTCATATTTAAGAATGCTTAGATAGGGGCTTCCCTGGTGGCGCAGTGGTTGGGAGTCCGCCTGCCAATGCAGGGGACACGGGTTCGTGCCCCGGTCTGGGAAGATCCCACATGCCGCGGAGCGGCTGGGCCCGTGAGCCATGGCCGCTGAGCCTGCGCGTCCGGAGCCTGTGCTCCGCAACGGGAGAGGCCACAACAGTGAGAGGCCCGCGTACCACAAAAAAAAAAAAAAAAAAGAATGCTTAGATATATGTTACTTAATAATAAATTATTTATTTTGATATAAAAATTAATCTGTCAATCTTTTAAGTGAATTTTATACTGCAGTATAATATATAATTTTTATTGTTGCTTAGGAGTAATTCCTATTTCCTGATCTGGCCCTTAAAAAAGAAGAAAATCACCTGCAGAGCTGGTTAAAAATACAAATTCAAGAGCCCCACTTTCCCAGATTCTGATTCACTAGGTATGATGGCATTTTTAAAAAACTCATCAAATATAAACCAATAGTTCCCAAACTAGGCTTACAGTAAGTATATCTCAGCCCTGCAAATTACCTCATACTCAGATATAGCGGAATCTTAGTAAGGAGAAACCCTACCTTAAGTGATGACAAACTGATGAAATATATTGCTCTAGGAATAAGCCCTCTTTTTTCCTTTATAGAGCAGAAGACAGCCAGTGAAATAAGGGCGGCCAGAATAAGGTATGCCATATTTTAATATGTGATATGCTATGGGAAATTACCATAAGCTAGGTTTTGCTTTTATTTTTAAATTTCTACCTACATATCTGGTTTTATTACAATTTTACAAATATTTACATTTAACAAAGCACTCTTTCATATAAGTAGGAGTTCTCGAATATTTCAAATATACTGCTAACATATGGGCCTCATTTCCTTGGCTGAAGCTAATATAAGACAGGAAGAGGAATTTTTTCTCAAAGGAATGACTTCATAATACTTGTATTTCTTTCTTTCTTTTTTTTTTCTTTAAATTCTGGTGATCCACCCTCCATTCCCATGAAAAAAGAGCTAAAGTAAAGTTGAAAATTAGAAGTAAAGTCTTAAAACAAGAGATATCAAGTGATTTGTCCTGCCCAATTGCAGAAGACCCCCTGAAAGACTTGGGCACAGCTCTGTTTGAAGTACCATTTATCTCAATTATATCTATCAGAATTAGTGCCTTTTTCATCACTTTTTGCTCAAAAAGTGCTGCTCTGCAAAGGGAAATGACTGCTTAAAGCTCCTGCAGCTCCATGAGTCCATCCACAATTATTTTTAAATTAATTTTTTAATAAACGTTAACTACAGTTTATTATATTATATGAATTTGATATTCCCACAATGTGTTGTGGATGTCTAGAGTGGGAGTTTACAAATCTCACAGAATATGCATTTGCTTTGGGGTGTTCTTTTTTTGTGTGTGTGTGTGTGGTACGCGGGCGTCTCACTGTTGTGGCCTCTCCTGTTGCGGAGCACAGGCTCCGGACGCGCAGGCTCAGCGGCCATGGCTCACGGGCCCAGCCGCTCCACGGCATGTGGGATATTCCCGGACCGGGGTACGAACCCGCGTCCCCTGAATCGGCAGGCGGACTCTCAACCACTGCGCCACCAGGGAAGCCCTGGGGTGTTCATTTTGCCACAAAATGCCATTTGACTAATAGGATATTTTCATGAAGAACACAGCAGTGCCCATTACTCCCTGGCCACAATTATTTTTAAAGGCTATTTCTTTTCCAGAAAGGTCTTTTTGAAAACAAGTCATGTAGAACAGTGCTCTGGTACCAAAAAAGTAAGAACTGCCAAGTTATTTCCTTTGGCACAAATGAAGCAATGTATCAACAACCATCAAGGAAAATACACAGACAGCCAACCAAAAGGTTATCACGAGATGCTTTGACTAGCCAATTCACAAAGCAGAAGGAAAGCAGTATTCTTTTTGGAGAGAAATGATTATAAACTAAATCACTCAGTCTGAGCGCCAAGAAGTATGCATGAATCAAAAGTAAAGGAGGAGAGAAGAGAAAGAAAGGGGATGGGGAGCAGTGGAAGACACCTACTGCACAAGCAGCAGACATTCTATAAGCAGAGAAGAGAGCCAGAAATCAAGGAGAAAGAAACAGTTTTGAAGTTTGAGGGGACTGAAATAAAAATAAATTAGACCTTAATAATACTTAAAATAAATTAGATCTTAATAATGCTTAAAAAAAAACTGGGGCTTTTAAACCTGCTGCATTCAGGGCAAATGCAACCAGCCTAAAACTTCTAGCACCAAAAACAGGGGAACTAACTTGTTGTACATGGTACAGGTAACCCCTAGAACCCAACCTGGCAGATAGAGAATTTTATTTTTTATTTTTTTTATTTTTTTATTTTTTTTTTTTAACATCTTTATTGGGGTATAATTGCTTTACAATGGTGTGTTAGTTTCTGCTTTATAACAGAGTGAGTCAGTTATACATATATATATGTTCCCATATCCAGATAGAGAATTTTAGAAGTTTGTCTAAACATGGACACGCTCCATCCAGGATTTCCTGAATTCCATTAAGGAATTCAGATGAATTCCTGAAATATAACAAAAAACTTTTTTCAACAGTTTATTCATGTAAAAGGCTGGTAAGTAGTCTACACAGTTTTGATGCAAACTTTGCTATTCTGGTTCTCTGCATGTGACAGAAGAGTAACCAATGCTGAATTTCTTCAAGACTACACTCTTTTTTTAAAAAAAATAAATTTATTTATTTATTTTTGGCTGTGTTGGGTCTTTGTTGCTGCACGCAGGCTTTCTCTAGTTGCAGCAAGCCAGGGCTATTCTTTGTTGTGGTGTGTGGGCTTCTCATTGTGGTGGCTTCTCTTGTTGCGGAGCACGGGCTCTAGGTGCACGGGCTTCAGTAGTTGTGGCACGTGGGCTTAGTAGCTGTGTGTCGTGGGCTCTAGAACGCAGGCTCAGTAGTTGTGGCGCATGGGCTTAGTTGCTCCACGGCATGTGGGGTCTTCCTAGACCAGGGCTCGAACCCGTGTCCCCTGCATCGGCAGGCAGATTCTTAACCACTGCGCCACCAGGGGAGTCCCAAGACCACACTCTTAACTATCCTTGTTTATTTAATATGCAGTACAAGCCAGAGGAGGGAATGCACATTTCAGGTTTTTTAATACAGCCAAGTAGGCTCTGAAAACTTAAAAGACTTTAAGCTGTTTCCAGAGTTCAAAAACCTTTCTGGGGGAGAATCACAAATAGCTGATAAACTATCTAAAAGAGATATGACGATATAACTGAATACGATGAATTTGAAACCAAAGGGAATAATTTTGCTAATTAATTTTTTAAACAATTTATTCAGATTCAAAGTAGTCACATAGATTGAACAGCGACCAGAGACTGCACACATTCCCCACTGCATAAACCATACTGAGTAAAATGGAATTACAGGTTTTTAATAACAAGCTATTAAATGGAGAAAAAGTCACAATTTTAGAAAGGATGTTAAATCTAACGCATGTGAACCACATCTGAAGTTCTGAGTCTGCATTAGAAGAAGTCCTCATATGTCTGTAAATTTCCAAATATCCCCCATCAGTGTGGCTCAAATTCAAGAGCAGGTGAGATGTGAGAAAGAACTATGCTCAGGATCCATATAATTTTGGAGGTAAGTTCGCATATCCCACATCCAACCTAAAATTTTAAGCAAGCCAACCTCTGGGTAACCTTTGGGTACTAAAAAATCTAAACTGAAAGCCACCAACAGTGACAATATAAAGGATGTATATTAGCTAACTGTTTCTAACGTGAAATTCATGGTAATCATACCTGAGGGCTTCCAAAGACTGTATGACCTCACAGTATTGAGATCTTACCACAATGAAGGCATACTAATGTGTTCAGACTAGTGCTCTGGAAGTGATTAGAAAGTCAGACACCTAATACGGTATATCAAGCTAGGTGAAAATACAATATACACAGAATGAGCAATACAAAACAGGCTATAATTAATTATAAAGCCAATCTACAATATAGATACCAAGGTTTCTACAGGGACAATATGAGGGGATGTTTTCTCTGATTAAAATTGTCAGTAGATGACAATATTTAAAGGGCAACTATAAAAACTGAACATACAAGCAGAGAGTTTAATAAACTAAATCAAATATCTAATTATGAATAATATATATGACATAGGTAGTCTAGCATAAATGAATGATAAATATTTGACAAAAGTGACTGGGGATAAGAATTTTAGCATAGTTTTCAATTCAATTCTCCCCTTTTAGTCATCTAATATGTATCAGCAGCATGAATATTGATAGCTTTCCCAAAGCAGGGAGAATCAGACCACGAGCAAAAGGATGAGGACACTATGAATATAAGTTCTGGATCTCTGCAATGAGGGAATTTGAAGCAACAAAAGAAAAGGGTTCGTGTAAAAGGGGCATGAATAGGAGGGGGAATAGGAATAAGGGGAAAGTGATTACTCTTTTGCCCCAGTGTTTCTAAAGCTTTATGATCAAGGCAAGTATATTTTTAGGATCTTTAAAATAAGTCCAAAATATTGCCACCTTCCACAACCTCCACTGCTACCCTTCTGGTACAAATCACCATCACCTCTCATCTGGATCACTGCAACAGGGGTACCCTTGTGCCTCCAGAAGTCAATGTGCCACACAACAGCCAAGTTTCTCCTTTTAATTTTAAGCAGGAGCATGCCGTTCCTCTGCTCAGCATCTTCAAGGGCTCCCTACCTCCTTGAGAGTAAAAGTCAAAATTCTTACGATGGGCTATAAATGTCCTATCCAATTTCTGATGGGCCTTCCAGCCCAAATTCTCTCTCTGACCTAGGCCCTACTCTCCACTTCTTGATTATACAACACTCCAGGGACCCACCTGGCATGCTCCAGATTCAGGACCATTGCATTTTGTCTTCACCTGCCCTTTCTCTCACCCCTTTGATGTGGCTTATGCACTCACCTCTTTCAGATCTCTGCCCCAATGTCACCTTCTCATGAAATCTTTCCTGATCACTCTACCCAATGCTGTAACACCCTGACGCCTCTTTTCTACGTTTTTTCACCATCTTCCAAACTTTATATATTTTGCTTTTTGTTTACTGTCCTTCTCTTTCTACAAGAATGCAAACTCCACATAAGAAGGGTTTTTGGAGGGCCACTTTGTTCACCACAGAATTGCCAGCACCTAGTAAAGTGTTTGTCTTATGATACACGCTCAGTAAATACTTACAGAATGAATGAATAAATGTCTATCTCTCCAAATACTAAACAGATTATCGGCTTTTTTAAGTCAGGCCCAATTCCTTTTTAATTTCTGTGCTCTCTGCCAACTCTAAAGTACACAGTTCATGCTCAATACATGTTAAATTAACCAACCATTTACCTGTATCCTAGCATAAGGAAACAGAATACACTATATAGAAAGAGAAAAGGTACTTCATCTCTGCTCCCATTTTAACTGAGGAAGTTTTTTGTTGCTGTTATTGTTTCTTTTAAAGCAAATGATTGGGCCAAACACCATGTTTTACATAGGCAGCCTTTTCACTGTAAAGTGAGATACATGTGAAATTAATTATAACTAGTAGAAGAAAATAACACAGCCTATAAATTTTATGTATAGTCTTACAGAGCTCATTTACAGACAAAGATCTCACTGACACAAAAGTAATAATTTCACAATGAGATGTTTATTCTACGGATATGTCCTCAAACTCTACTCTTGTAAGTAGTGGTAAATTTAGTACTGCTTATTGCATAGGAAAATGAAAGACTAATTACCTAACAAGAGCCAATGCTTCCACATCTGAACAAATAACATCTTTGGGGAATGGGGAATTTTATTGCCCTTATCCAGAGCAATGCAATGGACCTTTGGAAAGTTTTAGTTATCAGAAAAATCTTGAAATCTATATGTACATCAAGCTTTGATTACTGGACATGTTATAATTATTTTATAATCATACAGATGATGTGATTAATAGAATTTTAAAATAATTAAAAAGTATTACTGGATTCAGAGTGGTCTCTTATTTTCTCAATCATGGATATTAGAATATTATATTTTATTTTATATATATTTATATAAATTATATATTTATATATATATATTTATTATATATATATATATATATATATATATATATATATATATATATATAAATTAACTGATGTTAAAAGGGAATCCTCATGTTCCAAAAGATTGGGAACAACCGCCCTAGGGTTTCCACATCATTCTACGTGTAATCTTTCACTTTCAGAGATAACATTACTTAATGCTCACATTAATAAAGTATGATGCAAGTATTACTACACAGTAGAAGGCATGGAGGTAATGTGTGGCTAAAATGCTTCAGGTCAGACTCAACCATAAAGAGACTGGACTGCTAAGCTTGATTTGACTCCACAGGAAATAAGAACCATCACAGGATTTACCAAGAAGGGTGGGGATGGTGGTGGTGGATGTATGTGCGAAAACCAATGAGGTAACTGCACCTTCAAATAAATCTAAAAGCACTGTGAAAGGATGGCTAGGAGTGGAAACTAGAGGCTATTTTGTAATAGTCCAGATAAAAGCTGAACACTTGGACCACACAGCGCTGACGATAAGGTAAGAAAGATGGTGGACTGCCTTAAGTCTGTGAAAGGATCTGAAAAACTGCATTTAAGAGTGAGGGAAAGGAAATAAATTTAACATGAGAAGATAGGTGGACAGAAACCCAAGAAAAAATTCTTTTTTTATTTTATTTTGTTAGAAAAAACTGAGTTTAGCTGTGTTAAATCTGGACATCTGGAGGTGTTCAAGTAGAGATGTCCAACAAGGGTGTGAAATTAAACCTCAGAAAGAGATTGTACACAGAGTTGGAGATCTGGGCGTTAGTGGCTTAAGATGGTTAAAGACTTTAAAAAGTGAGAAGAAAAAGGGAGCGCTGAATAAAGAACGTGGAGGACGGGATTTCCCTGGTGGTCCGGTGGTTAAGAATCCGCCTTCCAACGCAGGGGACACGGGTTCGATCCCTCGTTGGGAACTAAGATCCCACATGCCGTGGGGCAACTAAGCCCACGTGCCGCAACTACTGGGTCCACGCTCGTCACAACTAGAGAGAAGGCCACATGCTGCAACGAAGAGCCCACATGCCACAACTAAGACCCGACGTAGCCAAAGATAAATAATTAATTAATTTTAAAAATAATAATAATAATAATGTCAAAAAACAAGAACCCAGAGGACACCAAAATCAGACCAGCAAGCAGGAGTAAAACCAGGGAAGGAGGATAAAAGGAATATGAGATAAGATGATAGAATTTATTACAATGGTTCTTACGGAAATATTAAAGATGAAATTCAACTGATGGTTAAGTTTGATATTTGATTTAGAATTAAAAACTGAGAGCTTAAGAGAACACTTTTCACTTGGTTTCATGTTTACAGAAATATTATTTCCCTCTGATGAAAAATTTGTGAGTTTCCAGAGTAAGCCTTCTCCAATAGTCCCCTAGGCAAAGTTTCTGAGCTGGTGAGTCGTATTCTTCCTTCACATACCTTCAACAAACTTAGGTTGAAGGTGACAAGTGGATACCTCACTGCCTTCAAGCAATAACAGTAAGATGATGCTGATAAGCTGAAAGCCAACAACAGAAAATGAAGATCATTTTCTGGAAAGAAGGAATACATTTGCTTTGGTTTTTGATTACAGTCTACACATGGTTATTATAGAAGCCTAGAGGTCATGACAATACATATGTCTTTGCCTTATTTTTATGAAAAAGATAAAAAGGACCCCCAACCTCTTAATTTTCTGCTCACATGGAAACTTTAGAACTCAAGGAGTCCGTTTCCATTTAATTCTATGCCTTAAAACAATCATCTCTTTATCTATAGCACAATAAAATAATTGACCTCCATCTATACTCTTACATGGCTAGGAGAATTGATTAAGCTGCTTAGTATATTCTATTTAAAGTAGCAATGAAATATGATTTTCCTCAAAAATAGTGTATTTTAGCACCTCACATGTTGAATTTCAAGTTATCTGGGAAATTTCACTATCCACAACACCTCATTACCTAGCAATGTTACACAGAGTTGGACACTGTCTTATCATTTTGCTACTAGTAATTCATTACCCATCTTACCAAGCCAGAAATCTGGAATTCAACCTAGAGTCTCCTTTTCTCTAACCTCCAAGGATTAATCATTCACCACAGTTAAGCAGCTCTCAAAATTTTTTCTCTACCACCATTATCCCTTGTCCAAGTTTTAAGACATTAACTAAATTGACTCTGCCTCAAATTATAATGATCAGATCTGGGGCTGATGTCTAGATATTTAACATCTTGTAATAATATATTCTGCCCGTGCAATACTAAAAGGCTGCAAAGACAGCATGCCAATGCGAAATCAAAGACGTGCTCCTTCCCAAAAAGCACCTGCCTCCTAACGATGTCATTCTATCATCATCTTATCTAGGAAGACGTGCCTCCAGTTATTCCAAATGCTAAGTTCTCCCACAACCCATGGGCCTGTGTTAGATTTCCATCCCTTTTTTCTGCTTAACATGAATGGATAAGAAACAGTCTTAAGTTTTCAGAAGCACAAAAGCAGCAAAGCCCTAATCTCACTAAGGTAAAATGTTCATATGATCTTGATTATATTATAAATAAGATAAAGGAATAAATCTATTCACATAATTATAATGAATTTCTTTTATAAGTTTTTACTTAGTCAAAAATCGCTAATTTAGCATTTTGCTATAATCCAAAAATACAATAAAAATTTAAAAAGCAAAACATTTTGTTACCTGAGGAGAGTCAAAAGGATATCGACTACTAAACTTAAATAGAAGTTGAAATTTTTCCCCTTCATATAAGGTACCTGGTGCACCTTCCATATCTACAATCCACCTAGAATAGAAAAAAAAAAAAATTAAACTTCAGTTATAAAGGATTAGGGTGAGAAGGAGACAAGAGAACACCGAGTATTCCTCTAAGCCAGGCACTGGGACAAAAGTCATTCATGTATAACAACACACTTCATCCTCCCAACAATTATAGGAGTAGGTATTTATACCCCTGGCCCTATTTCCTTCTCTGACACTCCAGTTAAATAGCTAGATCAAGGTGAGATAGCTAACAAAGGACAGAGCCAAATTTTAACCCAGGTCTGGAAAAAAAAACAAAATAAAACCCAACTTAGGTGTGCTGCACTCTTCCTACTCAATTTATGCTACCTTATTTTTTCAGACTATCTTTACAATTATGGAAAAGATTTTATAGATAACATCAAACTAATCAATTGCCTTTCTGATATCAATTATTTTAGAAGCTAAGAGAGAAATCAGTATCAGCAATGACTACAGAGAACTGTAGCTATCAGACCAATTTTCTCATCAGCATTCTAGAGAAGGCTAAACAGGAAAAAGGAAGCTAACTTGACATCAGTACACTTACTCTGATGGCTAGTTAAGGCTCTAGAAGGCCCTTCCTTTGTCTCTCATTATGTTTCAATTGTTTAATAAAACCCCAAATAGATTTCTATGGCATCTATGTAAGCTTACTTTGTTTTCATATATAACAATCATGAATATAAATCTGTTTATAATTATATTCTTATAACAAGAACTATCTTTTGTTCTTTAAAAAAAAAAAAGTGCGGGTAGAGGAATAGAGATTATTATGACAAAGATGACGGGGCAGAATTTAGAAGCAAAATGAGTTCCTAATTATATCCATGCCACTTATAATTATTGTCTACCTGGTCAATTCCTTTAATCTTATACTTTTCAGGTATAAAAACTTATTATTTTAAATACAGGGAAACAAAAGGAAGATTGAGGATATACTGTTGGGGTTCTGTTGAGCACCTCACATATTATGGACTTAGAAATATGTAAAATAATAAATGTGCCTACTCTCTGAAAGCAATCAGGCTGGAACACATATAAACCCTTAAGAACATGGCTATTCATTTTCACAATGCACGCTAAATACCTTATATGGTAATAAAAGATGCGACCACAGACCCAAGAGGCAATATTTTACAGTAAAATTAGACAGATCTGTCCCTTAATTAGCTGTGGGGCCCTGAGTAAGCTGTTTTACCTCTCCTGTTTTAACTACTGCAATTGTAAAATAGGTATTTTTAAAAATTAACTGCTAGAGTTAAAAAAAAAAGTCACCTCGAAGTGTTGTTGGAAAGATACATCACGTTACATATACAAAAAACCTAGTACATTCCTGATATCAGAACCAGTACACAGTAAATAAAATATAATGCAAAAGCTGCATTAAAAAAACAAAAACAAAAAACCTGTTCTCTTTAAAACTAGGTCCTTCCTCCTAATCAAACTTATAAGCTTTTGCACAGCACAGGAAACCATCAACAAAATGAAAAGACAACCTACAAACTGGGAGAAAATATTTGCAAACAATGCGATGGACGAGGGCTTAATTTCCAAAATATACAAACAGCTTATACAACTAAATATCAAAAAAACAAACAACCCAATCAAAAAATAAGCAGAAGACCTAAACAGACATTTCTCCGAAGAAGACATACAGATGGCCAATAGGCACATGAAAAGATGCTCCAAATCGCCAATTATTAGAGGAATACAAATCAAAATTACAATGAGGTATCACCTCACACAAGTCAGAATGGCCATCATCAAAAAGTCTACAAATAATAAATGCTGGAGAGGGTGTGGAGAAAAAGGAACTCTCCTACACTGTTGGTGGTAATGTAAATTGGTGCAGCTGCTAAGGAAAACAGTATGGAGGTTCCTTAAAAAACTAAAAATAGAATTACCATATGATCCAGAAATCTCATTCCTGGGAATATACCCAGACAAAACTATAATTCAAACCACAGTTCATATATATGAACTATATATGTTCATAGCACTGTTCACAACAGCCAAACATGGAAACAACCTAAATGTCCATTGATAGATGAATGGATAAAGATGTGGTACATATACACAATGGAATACTACTGAGCCATAAAAAACAACAAAATAAGGCCATTTGCAGCAACATGGATGCAACTAGAGATTATCATACTAAGTGAAGTAAGTCAGAAAGAGAAAGACAAATACCATATGGTATCACTTACATGTGGAATCTAAACTATGGCACAAAGGAACCTATCTACAAAACAGAAACAGACTCATAGAGAACAGACTTGTGGTTGCCAAGGGGGAAGGGGGAGAGAGAGGGAGGGACTGGGAGTTTGGGGTTGGTAGATGCAAACTATTACATTTAGAATGGATAAACAACAAGGTCCTAATGTATAGCACAGGGAACTACATTCAATATCTTGTGATAAACCATAATGGAAAAGAATATAAAAAGAAAGAATGTATATCTGTGTATAACTGAGTCACTCTGCTGTACAGCAGAGATAGGTACAAAATTGTAAATCTACTATACTTCCAAATATATATATATAAAACCAAAAACAAAAAGATGTACATATATACAATGGAATATTACTCAGCTACGAAGAGGAATGAAATATTGCCATTTGCAGCAACATGGATGGACCTAAAAATTATCATAGTAAGTGAAGTAAGTCAGAGAAAGACAAATATTATATGATACTTCTTATATGTGGAATCTAAAAAATTAATACAAATCAACTTACTTACAAAACAGAAACAGACTCACAGACATAAGAAACAAACTTATGGTTACCAAAGGGGAAAGGGGAGGGGAAGGGATAAATTAGGAGTATGGGATTAATAGATACACACCACTATATATAAAATAGATAAACAACAAGGATTTACTGTGTATAAGAGCACAGGGACCTATATTCAGTATCTTATAACCTATAATGGAAAAGAATCTGAAGCTGTACACCTGAAACTAACACAACATTGTAAATCAACTAAAGTTAAATTTAAAACAAACAAACAGGGACTTCTCCCTGGTGGTCCAGTGGTTAAGACTCCATGCTTCCACTGCAGGGGGCACAGGTTCGATCCCTGGTCAGGGAAGTAAGATCCCGCATGCCACATGGTGCAGCCAAAAAACAAACCAACAACAAAAAAACCCCACCACCAACCAAAAAAAACCCCACCAAACTAGGTCCTTCCTAGCCATGAACATCCCTTTTTAGCCCCACTGCCCACTCCCACCTACTATACTGGGATAGTCCAAGAAAAAAATCACAGGACTTCTCGGTGCCCTTTCGTTCTGTTTATAAGGCATTTCTTAGGACACATAATATACCATAAATTGACATGTGACCTATCCAAGCACAGCTCTTAAGGTCTTAAAGACACCTTGCAATATATGGGTGAGATAGGTCAAAGAAGGCATACTTCTCAACATCATGCAGGATAATTTAAAACAACGTTTTCTTAATTTAAAACGTAATATATGTTCACTACAGAAAATTTACATAAGCATAAATAAAACAAAAATCACCCAAAGATAATCACTGTTAAAGTTTTTAGCGTACATTTCATTCTAGTCATTTTTCAGTTTCTATATCAATGGACTCCAAGTCCAGTAGAGCTGCATTAGGTGTACACTTAAATTACATTACATTCAAATCATCAATGTTCACAATTCTAGTCACAAGCACACACGCCCCAGAGTAAGGATGATGGAAGAAGTCTCACTTCTTAACCTCCCATGAATACCCATTGTTCTGTGATTCTAATGTTTAAAACAGGTATTTTTCACACATTCATGGCTCCTAATCAAAGAAACAGCCATCTATGCCACTCTGAAGGAAGAACTAGCTTTGTTGGATATATTAATACAGGATATATACCAATACAGCCTCTCTCAAGGGATGTTCAAAGGCAATTATGACTACACAAAATTTTTGCCTTACACGATATGATGCCTGTGGACTGTAACTCAAGGGGTGCCATTTTACTTTACTACATTGAGAAACCATTTCCCAACTTAATTAGTTCTAAGTCAATCTTTCTGTATCTCTGTTCCTTCCTTAGGACAGCGTATAGGTTGATTTATTAGGTCAAAGGATATGATACGCATTATTTTTTAAGGTCTACATGCTACCAAACTGTCTTCCAAAAAGCTTAACGTGCTTTCATCATCTTCATTTACCCATATACCCCATCCCATATAATCCCACTTAAACAATTTTTTTTTTCTTTATTTTGGCCACACTGCACAGTTTACAGGAGTTTAGTTCCCAGACCAGGGACTGAACCTGGGATGTGGTGGTGAGAGTGCCGAGTCCTAACCACTGGACTGTCAGGGAATTCCCCAAGTAATAAATAATTTTTTCAAAATAGGTCAGTAGTTACATCAAAACATTGCTTTTTTGCCCTATCTCTGATTGCTCTGATGTCTATCTTTTGCTTCAGCTTCTGCTGTGGCCTGATTAAAGAAACTAAAGAACTGAATAGGAAAAAGTATATATACAATAGTATTTTAAAACCAGTGTTTATTTCCTGTTAACTATATGCGTCTCTTTCAACTAGATTAATATTTGGTTTGGATTTTCCTGGTGGCGCAGTGGTTAAGAATCCGCCTGCTAATGCAGGAGACACGGGTTCAAGCCCTGGTCCAGGAAGATCCCACATGCCACGGAGCAACTAAGCCCCATGCATCACAACTACTAAAGCCCACATGCCTGGAGCCCGTGCTCTGCAACAAAGAGAAGCCACCGCAATGTGAAGCCTGCGCACCCCAATGAAGGGTAGCCCCCACTCACCGCAACTAGAGAAAGCCCGCGTGCAGCAACGGAGACCCAATGCAGCCAAAAATAAAATAAATAAACTTATTTAAAAAAAATTTGATTTGTAATTCTTCCACTTTGGAGATAATGCTTCAGTGGAAGGGGAGTCCTAAACACTAGACTGCCAGGGAATTCCCAAGATCTAATTTTTATAAGTCTATTTTCATATCCTGGAAGATGGTCCAAAGATAATAAAACTTTTGTGGTTCACTTACAGTAAATTATTTTAAAAGAAAAATTCTTGCCTGACAAACATCTCTAAGTAACAGGTTTATTCTGTAGCAAAGATGCTGTTTATTTTGGTAGTTACACTTTCGGCTGCATTGAGTCTTCATTGCTGTGTGAGCAGGGCTACTCTTTGTTGTGGAGCACAGGCTCTAGGCACTCGGGCTTCAGTAGTTGTGGCACGTGGTTTCAGTAGTTGTGGCGCATGGGCTTACTTGCTCCTCGGTATGTGGGATCTTCCCGGACCAGGGCTCGAACCCGTGTCCCCTGCGCCGGCAGGCAGATTCTTAACCACGGCACCACCAGGGAAGTCCCAGTAGTTATAATTTGTGGTAGAAATATCTATACAAATATTTCAATTTTAAAAACGTAAGATGGTCCTTTAACTTTTTATAAATCATTGTGTTGTGTAGTTTCTCCCCACCCCCCAAAAAATAAAGGTTGAAAGTGGAAACGATTGGTACCTACTTCCTTGAAAACTATAGGTCTAGCTCTTACAGGATATTCTGAGGCAGGTTAACAAAGGTAAAGAGGAAAAAGATGAAAATGGAGTATAATCCACCTGTTTAATGATATCGAACAAAAAACAGTCGCTTGTTTAATCATATAGAACAAATGCTTTATACTCTAAAATGTGTGCTCCATTTTAAATTCTGTTTGAGATAAATGAAAAGTCAATTGAGAGCCATGAAAAGACATGGAAGAACCTTAAATGAATATTACTAAGTGAAAGAAGCCAGTCTGAAAAGGTTACACACTGTGTGATTCTAACTATATGACACTCTGGAAAAGGGAAAACTATGGAGACAGTAAAAAGATCAGTGGTTGCCAGGGGTTGCTGGGAGGGGACAGAAGGATGAATAGATGAAGCACAGAGGATTTTTAGGGCAGTGAAAGTGCTGTATGATACCATAATGATGACACATGTCGCTATACACTGGTCCAAATCCATAGAATGTATCAAGAGTGAACTGTAATGTAAACTACAGACTTTGAGTGATTATGACATGTCAGTGTAGGGTCATCAGTTCTAACAAATGTGCCACTCTGGTGGGGGATGCTGATAAATTAGAGAGGCTACGGCATGTGTGGGAGCAGAGGGTCCATGGGAAATCTCTGTACCTTCCACTCATTTGGCAGTGAATCTAAAACTGCTCAGTCAACTGAGAACCCAGCAACATTTCAAAGAGATCGTTATAGAGCTAGATACCCTATAGTATCTATAGTATGTAGTAATACACACTACATTTTCTTTTTTTTCTTTTTTTCTTTTTTTTGGCTGTGCTGTACAGCATGGGGGATCTTAGTTCCCAGACCAGGGATCGAACCCATGCCCCCTGCAGTGGAAGCATGGAATTCTAACCACTGGACCACCAGGGAAGTCCCCCATACTACATTTTCAAACATCAACATACCCTTTCTTCATATTCCTGTTCTTAAAGCTTGGCTCCTGTCTTAAGTACTGACTCAAATGTCAAAGTCAAAGGTAACCAAAATTGTTTCTTCTGAAAATAAATATGTCCCTGTTGTGTGAGCTTTGGTCACTTTTGCTCTTTGGACCCAGAATATCACTAAATATTTGAATTGTTCAATTTGTCCTACAAGTTGGTCTATAGTAAACTTTTTCTTGTTGGCTTCTACCCCTTTTACATTTTTGGAGTATTTTTTAAAGGAGAGAGTCAATTGCTTAAAAATTTCCCATTTTAGAACATTTACCTTTGTCTAACAGAACTGTTAAATCAAAGGAGTGGTAAGGATAGACCACACTGGGTTGTGAAATCTTAGGATGATACTCTTGAAAACACTTTAAACTAATTCAAATGCTCATTTTTAACAGAGGGGACCCATATCTCTACTCTTCTTGGCACATACCTGGGAAGAGACTTCTGCTCCACTCCCACGGAAGGAGCTAAATTAGAGAATACTTCTATGTCCTCCTTCTACCCTTCACTTTTTCATCCTCATGGAAAAGTTTCTTATTATTAAATGAGAATGCTAAGGGTCTGACATTCATTTAGCTACCCTTCTGTAAAGAAAGCAACTACGTAGTATGTTCAGGGGACAGGGATAGAGATACCTCTTGACTGTCATTCTCTTCAGAGCCTTAAATGTTTTTGAAAAGTCTGATAAATAACCTCATACCAAACTGCTCTATTACAGGTGAAGAACATTTCATAACAAAGTCAGACCAAAGTTTTTAAACGCTGCCTCATTAGCAGGAAACTTTTATAAAACGAAATTGTATATATAAATGCACAGAATAAGATCTGTTTACTGTACTTACCTCTTGGTGGAAGAGAATGGGATGAAATAAGAAAATAATTCTGTATTTTTAAAATGAGTATATATTCATACATTACATTGATAACAAAAGAAAAACAAACAAGTACTTTAAAACTTAAGCACTTACTGTGTAATTGAATTTTGAACACTCTTTTCATTTAAAGTCATTCCGGGAGGTGGGTCATTTTGCAAAGCCAACAGTTCTTTCTGTAGTCGTTTCTAGAAAAGAATATCAATAATAACTTGTACATTTTTTCCTGACAACACAATATACTTGTATTCACACAGTCTGAAATCCTTGATTAAACTTCGTCCAAATGCTCATGCCTTTTCCTTTACAAGCCCGTTACATCTTCTATATATTTTACATGCCTAATTCTCAAATTTTTAATTGCCTGTCCTATAACTCACAATCTATTGTCAAAATATTTCTAAATATATTTGTAAACACAGATGCTGTAAAGTGGTTATGAAGAGCAGCCAGCTACCTATAAAACTTCAAAACTACTCCATTAAAGTTATAAGGTTATAAATGCTTAAAAGTTTTAGCAGGGCTTCCTTTACTGCTTTTCAATTATAAAAACCACAGTTCTCCATAATCCTTAAAGAATGCATCATTTCAGACAGACAGGCTTTCGAGAAGAACTATATTAAGTTAAAAAGTCTTTTGAAAAAGTTTAAAATAATTTTAATTTACAATATACAGCCCGTTTATTTTCTTAAAATAGGATCATTCACATATAATTTAATCTTTCAACACCAGAATATAACATACCAGGGCCTGAGGTACATAAAGTTATTTTTTCACATACTAGATGCCCCCAAATGGCTATGTATTTGCATTCTTGTTTGTACAGCTTTTATTGTTCAATTCTTCCCTTGTTATCATCAGTGGACATTCTTTTTCAGTATACAACAAAGCAAAACAAAAACCACAGCAGCCCATAATTTACAGGTTTAAAAGCAAAATAACCAATGTTATTAGAAGTGCATGTAACATTATAAAGATTCTTAATGAACATCTTTTCTTGGATTAAAGCACACAAGCATGGATTTCTGTTCAGAACTCCAAACAACTCTCTACTTAAAAGCTAGTTTCTGATTTTTCTAGACAGTGAAATATTACTATCAATACAGCAATGTTTCTAGATCTTTTCAATTCATAAAGCCTTTAAATAAGCTTACCACCATCTAACAACACTACAGAATAGAAAACTCCTCCCGGGCTTCCCTGGTGGCGCAGTGGTTAAGAGTCCGCCTGCAAATGCAGGGGACACGGGCTCGTGCCCCGGTCCGGGAAGATCCCACGTGCCGCGGAGCGGCTGGGCCCGTGAGCCATGGCCACTGAGCCTGCGCTCTGCAACGGGAGAGGCCACAACAGTGAGAGGCCCACTTACCACAAAAAAAAAAAAAAGAAAGAAAGAAAGAAAACTCCTCCCTTCTTTGCTGAGAATCAATGGCTCTTTAAATTGCCAAAAGTGAAAACTTTTCCTCAGATGGTGCAATATCATAACTGCTAATAACATGGAAAATAAGATATCAACTAATTGCAATTCTGACCTCAGCTGCCTTCTAAAATGCAAAATTACAAATCGAAAATTAGTTTAGAAAAATTTTAATTATCCAAAATATAGAAATAAAAGCTGCATAAACAATTTGTTTTGAATAAAGGAGGATTATATTTGTGCTAAGTGTCTATGTTAGAAGAGGGTTTTTAATTTATTCTACTTCTGTCAACAAATGTGGGTCTGTGATCAAGTAAATTTTCAGAAACACTGGGCTCAACAACAAAAAGAAAAAAGGATTTTTTTTTTAAAGCAGGAATTCTCAGAGACTTCTGATATACGAACTTGCACAATGATTCTCTAAGGGGAGAAAGATAACATACAGGCTTCCAAAAGTACTGGAATCCTCTCAGTGTAGGGCATCTTGGAAAAGTCTCCTTTCAATGACTACATTTTGGAAAACACTGCTGTGGAAATCCTCCAGATCTTGAAAACTTTACTAAGACAAGGAACACAGCCCTTGTTATTGAATTAAGATATAAAGGAAGGTCGATTTGCATAGCTACCAACTGAAACAGGATATAAAGGCAAGTTAAGAAGAATCGTGTTGGTGTAATTATTCCTTGGTCTCCTGAAGATAACGGTGAAGAGCACTGTGGAAAAAGAAAAGTTTTCCCCCACCCTGACACTACTTATTATAGGTCCACAAAGAAAGGGGCCTGTGGTATAGCCAAACTCCAAGACAATCTCCAAGTAACTGCCTCCTGGTATTCACATCCTAGTGTAGTTCTCTCCCACACTGTACCAGAGTTGGTCTGTGTAACCGATAGAATACAGCAGAAATGATGGTATATCACTCCCAAGATGAGGTTATGAAAGATTATGATTTACATCTGGGTCATTCTCTCTAGAATCACTTGCCATATTGTGAACAGTCCAATTCAGAGGCCTACGCGGTAAGGTTAGGGCCGCCTGCCAATAACCATGGATGATTTGGAAGAATCTCCAATTCCAGCCAAGATTTCAGATGACCGCAGCTGGGGCCAGTATACTGCCTGCAAACTCAAGCCAGAATCCAACTCTCTGCTTCAAGACCCTTCGAATTACATGGGATTATAAATGCTTGTTCTTTCAAATCACTAAATTTGGGGGTAATGTGTCACACAGCGAAAGATGATTAATACAGAACCTCTGCTCCAACCTCTCCCCATTAGAAGGGGCTATCATCCACTTCATCATTTCAATTTCAGTATCACAGGTCAGAATCCAAGACACTCACTGGAGCATGTTTTTTAATTGAGGGGTGGAGTCACTATATTAAAAAGACAATTCATGCCAGTCCCTTACTGTCTCTGCTCTCAGGCAATAAACTACCTTGCACATCCACATCCTCTGCAATAAAGAGACAGAGCAGGACGAACATTTGGGGGGTTAATGAGTACTTACTAAGCACACTAATAAAACTAATGATTTACCAGTGTACTAATAAAACTTACTGGGAAAAAAAAAAAAGAGTAGAAGGTCAAACAGTGTGTCTGGCAGGCTCATAGAAACAGGGAATTCACTCTTAGGGATCTTTCCTGGAACAATAATCATTAAAGAGGGCAGGAAGTGTCTTTAAGTAAGCAAACAGGTCCCTCAAGGGTTCTCTGGCTCTTCTAAGAAACTGGTTCTAAGAACCCTGAATATGAACACAGAAGCTAAAAAAGGAGGACTTAAAGAGTTCAATGTAAAAATAAAGGAAAATTCATACTCACTTGAGAATGCGAAGAACTAGCATAACTGTTTAGAGATCATACCATGTGTTTAGAGATCATACCATGTAGCATCTATCAACAGAAAGCTATCATCACATGAGGAAGCATTCACCTCCTAACTTTGAAGACAAAGTGTTAGCAAAAGTAGATGAGAAACACGTGCATTAGAACACTAGCAAAAGCAGTGATACCACCAGATTATTAGACCATCAGGGCAGCATTGGCTGCTTTCCTGGACAGTGGTGAAAATGAGAGCCTAGAATTGAGACAACTGGAAAATAACTGCAGAAGGTAACTAAGTAAAGAAGCAGAACTACTCACAAACTACTGGGAGCTAAGGGGGCTGAAAAATTAACAGTTCCAAAGGTTCATAGCCAAATACCACCCTGTCTGTCCCTAAATCGGAGAGGTATGGGAAAACTAATTACATATATTACAAACGTACCATGGTTCTCTGAATCTTAGACAATCAATCACAATACGCACTATTATTTTATATAATACTAGGAAAGGAAAACTGCTACCAATTAAACAATTACACACCACTGATTAGACATATCTTGATTTCAGATATGTTAAAGTAGGGGAAAAATTGTGCATTAAAAAATATATGATATATGTTATTAATAAAAGTGTGATTTTCCTGGGGACTTCCCTGGTGGCACAGTGGTTAAGACTCCGCGCTCCCAATATAGGGGGCCCAGGTTCGATCCCTGGTCAGGGAACTAGATCCCACATGCAAGCCACAACTAACAGTTCGCATACCACAACTACAGAGCTGGTGAGCTGCAACTAAGGAGCCCGCCTGTCACAACTAAGACCTGATGCAACCAAATAAATAAAATAAATATTTTTTAAAAAAGTGGCTAGAGTAGACAACCCACTTTAAAAAAAAAAAAGTTTGATTTTCCTAACTCTTTAAGTACTAGAACTACCTGAAAAATAAATTTTCTGAGTAAATTTAATATGCCTAAAATGATTCTTCTCTCAATATTTAACACGTACCCAGGGATACATGATCTCAGTCAATCTATAAATATGCACTTTATTCCCAGACTGTGCACAGCAGTACATCTGTCTTCCAAGGCAAAAAGGCCAGGCCCAGAACCTAAATGTTTCAAAGCACCCCAGGCAAAAAGGCCAGGCCCAGAATCTAAATGTTTTAAACCACCCCAAATCTAGAGTAAACCTGAAAATTCTATCTAGCCCTCATCTTGCATTGGCTCAAGTCTGGAAAACTCATAGGAATTTGAGCTCTTCTAAGAGATCCAAGTGGGTTTATATACTCAGTAAAAAAGATCCTGATATATCTAAATATCATGAAAAAAAAATTTAACACTTTCAGAACTGGCTTGGCTTTTCAGTGGCTCTATAGTCCAGGCGGCACCTCCCTTTCTCTCCTTCCCCATGAATGCCAATGAATCTAAGTGATATGAATCCACTGAAATTTACTACTTTGGGGGCTAAGAAAACCACTGACAAACTTTGCAGTTAACTATTATCAACGACAAGATGTTGGGAAACAACACAAAACTGAATGGCATTCC